CTGTCTGTCTGTCTGTCTCTCTTCCCCTCTCTTTCTCTCTCTCTCTCTCTCTCTCTCTCTCTCTCTCTCTCTCTCTCCCCTCTCTCTGATGACTTACAAGACACAGTACAGTCAAGGAGAGGGCTCTCGTCCGACCCGTCACCACAGTGATCGTCCCCGTCACACATAAGCTCCTGGTCGATACACAGAAGGTTGTGGCACAGGTAGTCAAAGTAACCTGGACAACCCTCACCACCTACAGACCAAGACGAAACAAAAGTTGAAGATGGTTGAAATAGCCCATGAGTATCTATTGTCGAGGAGAAAAGTGATTGCTTTATACAGTTAGTTGTACGTCTTGGGCAATGTCATTATAATGTAAAGACGTGAGGGGTTAGTGAGGAATGTTTTTTGGTACAAGTGATCGTCTTGGGCAGGTCACTACCTCGGAATAACAAAGTTCAATCTGCTCAGTACCTAGTTTTGAGAAATTTGACGTCAAAGGTTTTAAGTTTCACATAATGTCAAGCTTTTTCGAATGCAATGAAATGGTTTGAATATCTTAATAATGACTCCGAATAATCGTATGATCTTGGTAAAGTAGATACAATGTTTGATTTCCGACTTCATAGTCTCAGTAACTCCAAACGGCCAAATTTTCAGATAGAACTGTAATTCTGGGGTAGCGAAGAGTCAGAGCGAAGAGTCAGAGCAAAGTCGACTGCTTAAATTTATTCCTAACAATTCTGTCAAAATTATGTTGAAGAGTGTCTCATCGTGTCGAGCAGTGTTTATTCATACAAGTATGCTCATGAACATCGAGCAACGATACTCAATCTGTAATTGCATACACAGTGTGGATATTTAATCGAAACAGAATAGAGCAGTTTGTGTTCAGGCCTACTCTTATACCCCCATCCAACCAACGAAACTTCATTTTAAAAATTCTGTAATGAGCCTGTCTCTATGTCATACCGTAGATCCTGATGTTTTGACCGCTCTTACCTAAGGTGACGTTTTTCACAGCAGTGTACATGAAGGACAACTTGTCAGTTGTGTAAAAACCGCCCCGGAGACGGATGTAAAGACCACGCGGCGCCGTGATCGACATCTCGATGTCTGTCAGGTTCCGGGCCGTGTACCGCGCCAGTAGAGGAGCTTCTGACGTCACGCCGTGACGTATCTCCAGAGAGTTCCTTTTGCCGTACTTGAGCCAGCCTGGCGGTGGCAAAATAAAAGTTTTTAAAATTTTTTTCTGGGTTAAGGAAGCGGTGAGGAGCAAGTGGGGAGGGGGAGGGGTGAGAGGGGAGGGGAGGGTAGAATGATATGTCGGGAACTACAGGCATTGTAACTTAAAAGAGGGGAAATTGTATTGTACTTTGTTCCTTTTTTTTCCACAGCTGTATGTATATATAAGATAGATATATAGATAGATAGATAGATAGATAGATAGATGGGTAGATAGATAGATGGGTAGATAGATAGACAGACAGACAGAAAGACAGGCAGACAGACAGACAGACAGATATACAT